CCCCAAAACCCCAAAACCCCAAAACCCCAAAACCCCAATATAAGAAATTATGAATGACAGTTAATAATAATTAGTAAATAAATATGAGGTTTCCGAAATGTGAGACTAGAGATGACTGTGGGGTAGTTGAGTACGTGGTAAAGTCTACTCCTGATAGTGTATTTGATGAAGACACTTTTGTATGCAAGAGATGTGCTCTTAATCTTTATATTGATGAAGAGACAATAAAGATACCTGATTTTGAAACTATTCTAGATTGTTTAAACTTTTCTGAGTACAGTTTAACACAGATTGATACTTTCAAAGAAGCTCATAATCTAGACAAATTCTGGAAAAAGTTGCTCCCAAATCTAGAAGAATTTACCATAAATAATATCCAGCTCAAAGATGACCTAGAAACAGCGAAGGCTGAAAATAATTGGCAAAAGATTCCATACATTCATATCCAAGCGAAGGAGTTGTTGAGCTCAATCTTGAATTCAGAACTTTTTATAGAATACACTAGGCAATCTATCTACATGAAGTTCTGTGACCAAGAAGCTAAAAAGAAACCAAAAGAAAGTTTCAAGGCTCCTTCAGAAGAATCTAAGATAAATATTGACAAGTCTGAGCATGACAAAGTTCTTGAAAAGCTACAAGAAGCCAGAAAGCTCTGTCAACAAAAGGACGAGCAACTCTGAAATAGAGAGGCAGAACTTGTAAAGAGAAGTGAAGATATTAAGGAGAAAGAGAAGCTTATCTCCATGAAAGACGACGAAATGAAGCAGCTCCACGAACTAGCCCAAAAGGAAATGACAGAAATTAAACATGAAGATTCAAAATCTCAAGCACAAATATTAAAATCTAGCCAACCTCAAAACAAAGACGAAACCTCCGCAGCACATAACGAAAATTTGACAAAAATAAAGGAGCTAACTGATAAAATAAAGCAGTTAGAGATGCGGGACAAAATTCAGCAAGATCTCATAGAGCAATTATCCATTAGTCCAGCTGGCTCGATTGCTCCTGCTGACTCTAACTCAGGCTCTAATTTAAATAATGAGTCTTCCTTCCCTGTTCCAAAACAAGTAGCTAATCGTAAAGACTCTCAAACCTCAGATGAGCTTGATGTTTCAAAGATAATTCAAAAGTTGAAAGATATTAAGAAGAGTCAGGGGAAATTTGGAATCGATGATTTTTTTAAGCTAAAAGACATGGATATGTGAAAGCCAGATGGAGAAAAAGCTATTTATGTTAATTTTGAAGCAGCTAGTTGGCAGTTTGGAGAGAGGAAAATTGAAGAGATTCAGAATAGAACAGGATTGCTTACTGTAGAGAGAAAATATGCAAGAGGAAATACCTTACCTTCCATGGAAGATCCATCGCTATCAATCTTATCACAACCTAAATCATGAACAGATACTTCTTCTACTATTGAAGCTCTTGATTTTTCGCTTATATGCTTTAAGAGAAGGATTTCCCAAATTCTCGAAACACTAAATCCTTCAAACATCAACCAAAACATAATAGAATGAGTAAAAGCTCTCGAGGAATGATCTGATAATGATGCAAGGAAAACACTCTTTCAAACGATTTTCAGTAAAGCAATCTACAATAAATCTAATACAAGCACCTATGCTTATATGTTGAAATATCTCAAACAAGTACTATGAAATAAACCCATTAAAAAGAATGCAAAGAAGAAAAAACAGGAAGAAGAGAAAAAGATCGAGCCAGAAATCATAGTTATCAAAAACCCAATAACAAAACAAATCTTTGCCGAAGATCTTCAAAATGTGTATGGAACCTACCTTCACAGAGTAACAAAACCCTTAACTAATAAGCAGAAAAGGAACCCAATATATATTGCTAAATATAAGGAAGAATTATTTGCGTATCTTGAACTTATGTCAGAACTATATCATAATGATATGACAGGGCCTATGAGGCAAATGATCATTTTAAAGAAATTATTACACTATGAGAAGTCCAGGCAAAAATGAGTAGCTACTGATTTAGACTTACAAAGTGCTTGCTATTTGTTATGTAAAGTTGGAACTAAGCTTGACTCAAAACACCAAATGTTAAAGGATGGGAAAACAGTCAAACCAGGTTCAAGTGCAATGAAATTTCAAGAAACATTCGAAGATTTGCTTGCTATTCTTCTAAATTACAAGAACGATAAGGCCTTTACAAACATTGGAAAATTAATTGAGCAAACATTAGAACTTAGGAAAACCGGTTGGGTGGTGAATGATACTAGAGAATTAAGGGAACCATTAGCATCTATTTTGAATAATAATAGTCAAAGAGATCATACTGAGCAAGATAATTTGGAGGTTGAAGAGGAAATAGAGGCTGAAAATTCTTTGTCAATATCAATAAATGACGATGATGAGAGTGTCAAACAAAAGCTTATTGGACATTTTATTGAATTTTCACAAATTAACTATTGAGATTTAGACATATTTTTATCTTTGAGAGACAGGTACTGAGGAAGAGAGATTTTAGAGTTCTTACTTGATAAGCTGTACTACCAAAAAGTTGATTATCAACAATTCACTCACTATTTCTATCGTTTGCACAAGGGGTATATTTTTAATAAGAAGGAGATCATTGAAGCCCTCACTTCATTTTGGAAAAAGATCCCTGACATAGGAACTAAAATCCCAAACATTGGTATGCTATTCAGCAACTTACTCTATTTCATCATTATTGACAAAAAGTTAATAACATTTGATCAGATGCAAATTGAAATTGAACTTGATGAAGATGGCGTCCCACTCAAGCTGGTAAACTTTTACTTCAAAACATTGGCTGCATTTCTCAAGATAATTCAGTTGAATCTAAATGATAAGAGACTGGCCTATTATTATGAAGAATTCAAGATCGAAGAAATATGAAAAGAGTTAAAGCCATATGTAGTTGAAAAAGATATGGTAAATGAGCTAGAACTTGATAAAATCCCCAAGTTAATAATAGATATGCTTAATGTTCCTCTTGATTAAAATGCTATTCAATATTAAATTTCCAACTTGGGGTTTTGGGGTTTTGGGGTTTTGGGG